ATCTGCCAAATTCCTAAAGACTCCTTTTCATTTAATGAAAATGGAGAGGAAGATCACAAAAATCTCATCCTTATGCCAACGTTTGTTTTTATATTGAGTAACATGGTCAAATGCGTGCCTAATCCAGTCCTTGCCCTGAGTTCTTGAACTGCTTCACTGTCAGTGACTTTCTCCTGCATTCTACTGAAGCCTCCCTTTCTCAGTGTGACAGCCCTGACTGTCATCATCCAACTTCCCCTGACTGAAATCGACGAGCAGAAATCTCACTCTTTGGACATACCATTCAATCTTTTCTAGCTTGTTTTCTCTATCTTCCTTGCTTTAGTAGTTTCTGGCTTCACAGGAATTGCCATCCCGTTGCCTCTTCTCATTTCTTTCATATCCATTAGCACTTTTCTTTCTTTTTTTTTTTTTTTTTAGGTTTTTGCTATATGGTGTGTGTGCTCTCCAGAAAGACAGAGAGAGACAGAGAGACAGAAAGCAAGAAATCACCCCCCAGGGAGGATGGTCACACTGCAATCCCTCTCCTCCATTCTCCTCTCGGGAGAATGAGAATGTGCGCACATGCGCCCGGCGTGAGTTTAAGCCACAGGGTCCAGGACTCGAACCGCAGTTGACTACAGGGGAGTTCAGCGACATAGCCATTATGCTAACTGCTGGTCCCCCATTAGTACTTTTCTAATTTCATCCTCCTTTTACAGCCTAGATGACACAGTCTTTTCAATGACAATCTTACCAATACCCAAAATTTCCTTTGTTCTTTGTGTTTTTGCAAAATGTAGAATTCAAACTGGATTCAACTATCCATATTCTTTCTGTCCACTGCTAGACTGTGAATACAGTTAGAACCTCATCATTAGGCAGATTGGTAGTGTACAGTCATGGCCACTAATATGAACTGAGTCATCGAAAGCGGCTGTTTTGTTTTGTTTTGACTATTTCTTTACCCTTCTCTGCAATGACTGCAACTTCACTACAAAATACTCTGTTCACATTATATACTGGTTGAGCATCCCTAATCCCAGACTCCAAAGTACTCCAAAAATCCAAAGCTTTTTGAGCACTGACAAGATGTCACAAATGGTAAATTACAAACCTAACCTTACATTGCAGTCCAAATGCTACAATATAGAAATACTATTTTTGATTACCTCCAGGGTATGTGTATAAGGTATAGAAGGAACATAAATAAATTACATGTTTAGACTGGGGTCCCACCCCCAGGATATCTTATTATGTATATGCAAATAGTCCAAAGTCAGAAAAAAAATCTGAAACTTTTAGACCTGGCATTTCAGATAAGGGAGATAAGGGATATTCAACCTGTATCTCTTAGTTCCCTCCTACCCATTATTCTCACCAGATGGAAACAGGCCATCAGATGGCAACCCACAAGGTACCACACTATTATTTTCTCCTTAATTTCAGTAGAGGAAGCACTCCTTGTCCTAACAAAATCCAATTTTCACCTCATGTTCCGGATCATATCTTTTACTCACTCATTTTGTTTAAACAATCTTACATAGGCATACTCTACCCTATAACTATCAATTCACTTACTTCAATCTTCATAATTTCTCTACAAGTAAATACTGTTAATGTTCCCATTTTACAGGTAATGAGATTGAGGTACATTCCCCAAAACACAGCTGTTAATTGGAAGAACCAGACTTTGTTACTCTGCCTCTAATATCCTACATTGCATCTTCAGCCTCTCCCTCTCTACTGCATTTTTTTTTCAACAGCATGAAATACAGTCTATCTCCCCAATCTAAAAACCAGATGTGCGAACTGTGTCTCTCTTCTGCTGCAACAGTCTGGTGCCACACCTGCCTCTGGGTCTTCATGTGTGTTATCCCCCCTACCCACAATGAATGTTCTTCTCACAGGTTCACGTGTTAACCTCTACTCACTGAGTTTCATGCCTAAAGTCAGACATGTGTTCACAGATATGTATATGTCAGCTGAACTTGCTATTGAAAGTATTTAGATTAATTAAGGTATTTTGTGAATCAATAAAATGTGGAGGGGGAAGGAATGGAAAACAACTGTAGATAGCAGAGACAGTATGGGAGGAGGGTGGGAAACGGCAAAGGGTAAGAAATAGGGAGTAAAAAATTATATATTATATATATATACATATATACATATGAAACAAGAAATGGAAAATTATTTGTTGATGATAACATGTGTGATTAAGCCACTTTACAATATATTCTTCATGGGAAATCACATTTTGTATGCCGTGATGATGTTCGGTGAATGAATGTAAAATAAATTTTAAAATAAATAAATAAATAAAACTAGGGAAAAATAAAAACACCTCTACACATTGCTTAAGTCTTATCTTCCAGGCACTTTTTCAAGAACCCTTTTCTGGCCCTTGGATTATCCTAAGTACCTTTCTAATGCTTAAATAGTACTCAATACTTTTCCATAGAATATTGTATGTATTTGCTACCACAGCAACTATAAGTGTCTGTATTGTTTTGTAAGAGGTGAGGTTTGGTTCACCAGTTCATTCCCAGAAAATGGCACAATACTTAAAAACCAAGAATGTGTCTACACATTTAACTCAGGAATCTTCATTCACAATAACGTGTTTACACATATAACTCAGGAATCCTTGTTCACAGCACTAATCAAGGGCACTGTTTTCCATGCAAGAATATGTTCAACTATACTTCATGTCCTTCCCATCCCTTTGAAGACAGAATCCTTGACAGAGACAAATTTAGCCATGACTGGTACACCTCACTGATCATACCTCCATCAGGAAAGCAATTTTAGAATCATCTTCATAATCAACTTCTGAATAGTACAGCCGTTGCAGTAAACATTTGTACTTCAAAAATGATTCTCGTTGTTGAGTCTCATTCTCAAGGTTAATGCACTTCCGGCACCAGTATAAGCGATGTAAGGTGGATGACACAGAGAAATCTGTAGAAGGCAAATAGAGCTGGCAACTGTGGCAAAAGTAAATCTTCTTATAAAACTTCAGTGGGTCTGGAGGAACCTAAGTAGTAAAAAAAGAAAAAGAGAAAGAAAGAAAGAAAAGAAAAAGAAATATATATAAATGTAAAAAATCCAGACCAAATACCAACCAACAGAAGCACCAAGGGCTGATGTAGGTTGAGATAAAATGTTGGTTAATGTTAAAAGTCATGTTTTTCCTGGCATTCCTAGTCTATACAAAATTTAAATGTCAAGCAATATTCATTTACCCTAACAAAATAATAAAAATATGTGTTATTTACTAACCTTTAGATATATTCAGTAATATAAACATTGATTGAAAAAACTGTATAATAACTTGTGGTAAAACATAGTGATTATAGTTAATAACAAAGTACTGTATTTTTGAAAATGGCTGAGATAGATTTCAACTGTTCTCACCATACTCACAGAAAGTGTGAGTAATATATATTAAAAAGCTCAATTTATTCATTCTACATATTTCAAAACATGTTGTACATATAAATATATGCATTTTTGTCTTGTCAACCAAAATTTTTTTAATTTAATTTTTTTCAAGAATTATTTAATTTTATTTATTTATTTATTTATTTCAATTTGACCAGAGAGGGACAAAATGTATGTGAGAGAGAGAAAGAGACAGAGAGAGAGAAAGCAAGCCGCCAGGTCTGGAACTTGAACCATGGGGTCGGCCATGTGGGAGTCTAACATTCTTAACCACCATGCCACCTGTCAGCCCCTTAAATTAAAAACTGAAAACAAAATGTAAGCAGAGACTTTTGGTATTGAAGAAGAGTTCAGATTTTTGGTGACATGTTACATGAGTTATTTCTATAAGCAATACCTAGATTCACATATAATAGCCCACTAAATCAAGTGTTCTCATTTCATTCATTCATTTTTGTTAATTTGCCAGAAGACATATGAGCTCACTGGAGGGAGGGAGAAAGAGATAAAGAAAGAGACAGAGAGAAGACACCCCCACCCAAGGAGAATGGTCCCACTACAATCCTTTTTCCTCCCTTTTTCCCTCCTTTTGGGATTTGGGCATGTACACACATGTCCCCAAAAAGTTCTTCAAGACCTCAGTTTGGGAATCAAACCATCTACAGGCCACTAGTTGGCCCCACTTCATTTATCTTATCCACAAATTTAAATTGATTCCATGATCAAATTTTAAATTTGAAACTCTATATCTAAAGCAGTGAGCAGAAGTAATACGACCATAGAAGAGTCGATCCCATGGTTCTTTGTGGTCTAAAGTACCATCAATGCATGAACAGTGAACATTGTCAACACAAACCGAATCAAGACTTATATAAGCCAGTCTTTTCTAATTTATGATGTGTACCCTGGTCTCTATGAACTGAAAGATCAAGTAGCAACAGAGTTGGCATCTGATATATGAAACTTTAAAAAAATGTTTTTTATTAAGAAGAAAATGGGCATCAATATTCTGTGGTATTTTTTTCTCTCACTCAAGGTAGATTTAAGAGGTTTACCCTATACACATCTTGGATTTATCTGAACATCTGTTACATTTCTACACCTAAGATAGATAGATAGATAGATAGATAGATAGATAGATAGATAGATAGATAGATAGATAGATAGATAGATAGATAGATAGATAGATAGATAGATAGATAGATAGATAGATAGATAGATAGATAGATAGATAGATAGATAGATAGATAGATAGATAGATAGATAGATAGATAGATAGATAGATAGATA